TCTCTCTCTCTCTCTCTCTCTCTCTCTCTCTCTCTCTCTCTCTCTCTCTCTCTCTCTCTCTCTCTCTCCTCTCTCTCTCTCTCTCTCTCTCTCTCTCTCTCTCTCTCTCTCTCTCTCTCTCTCATTTTTCGAGCGAAGTTTGAAATAATTGCTCGTGAACCCACCCACCTGCTTTGTCATTGATCGTCTCTATGTACCTCTCCGTGACATGCTGTCACCTTCGTCGTCGCCGCCGCCGCCGCCGCCTCCCAGATTGCTGGCTGGGAATTACTATAGTGCGGGTGGCGTTGCACTCCGGTCAGTGGCGTGTGTGCGCGTGCGCGTGCGCGCGCGTGTGTGTGTGTATGCGTGCCTGTGTGCGCGCGTGCGTGCGTGGCTGTGTGTGTGTACGTGCGTGCGCGTGTGTATGAGGGCACAGTGCGCATTATAACTCGCCCCAAACCTGGCAGAGCAATGAATAGAGATTAGGGTAACGGGCGAAAGGCGTTGTTGTGATCGTCATCGTGGTGTCCACCTATCATGGTAACGACAGGTAAATGGGAGGCGCGTGCCGCGACGGTGTCGTAGCCTCCATTATTAATCTGTGCGATAACACGGGCACGCGTTGAACATTGGCCCCGCGGGCTGCTATCATTGTTAAGGATACTATAAGGGTTACGGACCGGTAACACTATGTAAGGCATGGCAACATAACTACTCTTCAAATTCAATTAAATTCTCATATCCATTACATACGAGAGATGTCTCTCTACGCTCTCGACGAACAAATTTTTTTTTTATTTATTGCTAATTAATTGACAGCAAAAATTGTGAATTTATACAAAAACATGCTTTTTTTGCTATTTCTCAGAAACAGCAGAGTTTGGACCTAAACTTTTAACCAATTTTTTTTAAATGCTTTAATTTAGGAAATAAGTTGAAAAGATGTACAAAAATTTGTAGTGAATTTCGACACGCAACAATTTCGTAATAGAAAAATTATGACCAAAAATTCGTCTCTAACCCTTACATTATCCTTAAGCGATCGTTTTTGAGCTGTCGCTGAAGTTTCGCGGAAGACATTTTTTTAGTTTGGGGTGGGGTTGGGAGGGGGGGGGTCAGGTGC